GTTGTACGGCAGTGAAGCATCAGTGCCAACACTGATCTTTGATTGACTGATTGATTGGGACGTTCGAAAAGACAAAAGCAAAACACATACTATAAGGCTCTGTACGAAGAATACTATTGGTCAATAATGTTAGTCAATAAAGTTGTTCAACATATTGGAGAACCATTGCTGTCACAGCAAACGAAATAACTGCACCCACAGACCATCTCGTTGTATAATTTTTTCGGACAACTGCCTACGCAAAAATAGAATGGCAGTTCGTTTACAGGTATAGATAGCTCTGTGTCCGTACTGAATGGGGCGCAAACCCTGGTCGCTGTATGAATACCGTTATTCTTTGGCACAAAGTAAGCTGGGCAGATGTATATTCCAACTGTCTGTTGGGACTTGCCAACAGACTGTCTAGCTTCGCAACATACCTCTCGGCAACAAATCTACCCTTCAAATACAAAACCCCATGACTCCTGTACGTTTACTCCCTGAGAACTTGAAACCCCGTTTGAAACACGTGAATCTTGTCGCTTAACCGGTTTTTGCAATGATTGCTGACCTCCGAAGGTATCCTCTAGACGATCAGCTGAGATTTCATGTAGATTTACAAAAACTCCTGTATGCTGAAACCATGGACGGCTTGTCGGGAGTCGGCTAGCGCATATATATGGAATAGGCTTGGATTTACTTTCTACGACATCTATGAGGCTCACGTTGCAAAAAAGTTGCTTGGGTTACGTGTTCACATGAAATAGTGAATTGCAAGCTGTGTTGCTGTTAACGTTATCTTTTTTTTTTAAACTTATTTGATGAGCCCCAAGATCGACGAACCCCTTCTGTCGAGGTTATTAGCAGCCTTATAAGTAGTGTATCCTATCAAGAAACCGTTTTTGTGCTTTCTTATATCTACGTTCGAAAGTTGGCCCCGTCTATCTGGGAAATTGACCTAGTCACGATATGGTATCGACGTGTGGTTATTTCGCACAGTCAATCAACGTTACCTCTGATGCCTTTGGCTCGTTTATCGAGCGGCAGTTGAGCTCGACTGCCGAAATAATGGTAACCCTCATTTCGGAAGTCACATAATCCTAGCCCTTTGCTCTGCTAAACATCTCACCTACATTAACTGCCTCACTCACTACTATTTGCAGAATCGGTCGCGGCGGTCGATTTGGCCGGAAAGGAGTGGCGATCAATTTTGTCACTCTCGCAGACAAACGTACTTTGAAGGAACTGGAAACCTTCTACAACACCAAAATATCCGAACTCCCGGTTGACGTGGCCGATTTGTTCTGACCTCGTCCAGATATACTTCTTCTGAATGATTTATCACCTACTTCCACCTTGATCCTGGATCCGTGTAGATAGCGGTTGGTCTGTTCCATCTCATCTGTACCTAGAAAACGGAGGCTGGTTGTTTTTGTGTACTGTGACCACCCGCGCCAACTCTGCCCCCGCCCACCCATATTCTTCAACGAAGGACTTCAATTTAATTCTGATACCGTTTTCTTGTGTCACCGTAGAATTCCGAGAACATCGAATAGGTTCTTTTCGAATAATGTAAATCTGTGACCTCTATGGATGCACCAAAATGTTTGTTTCTCACACTGAAAGGTCCAGCAGTCTCATCACCTAGCAACTCTCCTGCTACCTGTAGTTGATTTCATTCGTCCCAAAGACGTGTGTCTGACGGTATTTTTTTCCGACGCCAGTTCTGCATCTCCATCCGAATTGTGATTTCTGTCCATCTGCACAAATATATACGAATTCCTTACATCCCTGTTAAATATCGAGTACGGAACCACAGACTCCGGGAACCTACCTACCTACCTACCCGACAGTGGCTGGTCGGATGTTTCTCTTGAAATCCTTAGTGTCTCTTTACTTTATGACTTTCACACACAGACAGACACTTTCCTTGCGGTCACTTCCAATTCGATCTCACGGAAGCCTCGTTTGTTGCCGTTTCCCTCGTTTCTGTTGCACAGACGATATCACTCCACTCGGTCCAATCAGTCACTGTTTTTCAAGCTGTCATAAAATTCACAAAACGATCGAATAGTACATTTTGATTGAGAATCGACCTTATTCCTACTGGTCCTGGTTGCAACCGCGCTGGATGTTTTTGACTCGCTCAACTCACTTATTTTCCGAGGCTTTTTACTTTCCGGAAACTGCGATACGTTTTATTTGGGAAACGTGGTCATACGGCAGTGAAGCATCAGTGCCAACACTGATGTTGCTGTCTTTGATGATGATGATGATGCCGATTCTCCGAACTCGAATTTAACTCGGAGGTTTAGGCGCGAAGCATGAAGTCCATGCTTCTACCCACCCAATCCAGGTTAAACTTTGGGCACGGTGTAGTAAATTCACCACAGTACCATGTGAAAAACGTGCTTCTAGGTTGAAACATCTCTTCCAACACCCATCAATGAGTGATTCAAAAACAAACATGGGTTGACGAATATGTTTTCGGAAGGGTCCTTTCAAGTTATACAATTGCAAAGGCTACGACAGCTGTAGCACCCTTTCGGTACCTACCTGCCATACCACCCGAAGTTTGCACGAGGGCTGGGATACTGCCAGGTTGCCCAAGCCTAGACAGGGGAAGTCGAGAGGCAGAGGTCGGGTTCGAATCACGGACCTTCTGGTCAGTAAATTCTTGCCATCTTGCCCCAAGGCTACGACATTTTGATGGGCATGGTGTACAGGAAACGGAGCTCATTGAGAGACCGCATTGTCTACGTGTCAAGAAATAGCTAGTTCAAGTCACCAATAGGACTTAACCCGCGTCTTTTCAGTGCTGTGGTTGTGTGTGGGGAGGTGAGATAGATCATGGCAAGTCCAACACGGGAAAAAAGCATTTTTGACGGCAAAGCGATAGCTGTAGCCACTGCGATTGTGCGGTGCTGTATCAATGTGGATCGATTAGCAGTCGCCTTGTAAACAGCACGGACACTTTGGCTGGATATCACGGTGTGGGCCGTCTGTTAGATGCTGCAGAACTGATCTGGTTATCGTACACCTAATCCCAGGAAAGAACGAGGGTGGATTGTGTCCCTATGGCCGAGTTGCCTAGTCTTGCTTTCACTGTATTTCGCAGAACAGTAGCAAGAGAATGAGTATAGTAACAGACTAAAAGTACACAAGCGATCGCTCTGGAACCAGGTTCGGAGTGTTATGGCCTGTAAAACTTTTTTTCATACTGGCATGAGACCTTCGGTTCAGTATTTCAGCCCTTTAAAGAATGGCTACGTAACTTTGAGTTGGTCTGCGCCACACGCCACTGGCAACGGCTGACCCGGTGTGATCACCCTCACAGTTTAATCTGTCAATTATCCTGGTAGATTCACCTTCAATTTGCCGATTTAGCTACAAGCAATGGAAGTGACACCTTCAGTGAGCCGCTGTGTAGCGAATCGGTTCGTTGCTCCCAATGGCGCACCATGATTTGGCATAACAAGCTTGCATAACAGTAGCCTGTTTCCGTCAGATGAGGAGTCATCAAGAGCGAGCAATCGTCATCTGACCCGACTAAGGATGCGAAATCACGAGCTAATTATCGGACCAAGATGTAATGCAAAGTAACGAACGCGCACCATGCCCTGTTTGGTTTAACTTTATGACAGGAGTAACCACGTGGTTGTTGGCCCGTCCACCGAACTTGGCAGTTGGATCGCTAACGTTTCATCATCAGTGCGGGTCGATTGGTTACGTTCCTCATCTTCTGTTTGTGCTTATATAGTTTCTGGGCGAGATGGCTCAAGTGGTTAGAACGCGAATTTACTGGCCGTGGTTCGACCTCTGCCTTCTCCTGTCCAAGCTTGGGCAACCTGGCAGTATCCCAGCCCTCGTGCTTCCTTCGGGTAGCATGGCAGCTAGGCACCGGAAGGATGTTACAGCTGAGCGATTGATATAGTTTCTAAACAGCATCTAATATCTCAAGGTGATTGTTTCGCGTGAGTGGCTTCAACTCGATTTGCAGCTGTGGCCGATTCCAAACTGCTACCGTGCCAAACCATCGATCCGGACGCTAAAAACGTGCCGCTAATGTCGTGGGATGATGTAGCAACATTTGGAACATAAAAGGTTACATCTCGTTTCTCGGGGTGTAGTAGAGGCATTGGTTACCGTGAAAAAGTGTCTTCCTAAGATAGAGATGCCACACCGTTCTGGGACCAAGGGGGATATGTTGGAAACACTATCCTAGGTATTTCACACCCAGTCAGGTTTCGTTTTGGCCACAATGAAGAGTAACGATATACGTGTCCAGAAATCTTGTGCAGATTAAAAAGAGCGATTCTGATGTGTGCAAGCTCAACTGTAATACGATCGAAAGTCAGCCAGTCGTGCATACCATGGTTTAGTGCACCGTGCAAGGGTCATCAGCTTCGTAGGACGGTGCAAAGCTCACTTCCGCAGCAATGTCCAACAGAATCCCGGTTCCTTTTGTTGTGGAAGGCCAGAAAAATTCTGTCCGCGTTTGCTATCGCTGCTCATGTGTTGCGAAACTACACAATCCTTGGTGCACCTGAAAAGTTATGCGCAACATCATGTGATCGGTCACTCAACCCTGGAGAGCACACAGAAGTACGTGTGGTCACGTGATATCTCTATGAGCTCTCGGTCTTGCAGAAGCCGCTTCTATACCTACTGGCCTAACGACCAGTCTTTAGCACATTGTCGATCTAACAACCTCTATCCGTAGAAACAATGGCCTGCTAGGACTGTAGGAAAGTGCTTCCTTGTGTTGAACTTATTTCAACTACATAACAGAATCAGGTCTGCAACACTTTTTCACGGTATCGCGCGAAAAACCAAAAGGGCCTGGATATAGATCTGCTGTGCGTGCAATCGGACGAAGAGGCCCTTGGAACAGCCTCGCTCGTGACCCGGCGGGACACCTTCACCTTATGTTGTTAGGCCGGAGTCAATCTAGGTAGTTTCAGGGAATGCACTGCTTAGTCAAGAACGGTTTCATCGATTCATGAAATTGCCACCGAGATTCGGTTAACCTGACGTCTTGAGTCAAGGTCAGATCATCTGGTATGCATCAGGAGGCCATCAGGACGACCATTGCAAAAGCCCTCGCGATATCACTGGTAGCATTGGCCAACAACAGTTGAAAAACCGAAAGAATGCTGTTCAAGGGTCCACCATCAAAGCGCTGTATGACATGAACGTCCCCATGTTCCACGACTAGACTTCATCTGGGCAAGATGGCCCATGTGGTTGGAGCGCGAATTTACTGACCGGAAGGTTCTTCGTACGAACCCGACCCCTGCCTCTCGACTTCCTCTGTCTAGGCTTGGGCAACCTGGCAGTATCCCAGCCCTCGTGCTTCCTTCGGGTGACATGGCACCGTAAGGGTGCTACAGTTGAACGATTTTTTTCATCTAAGCTATTGGCAACCAGAGGTGTCTCTAGCAATTCAACGATTTGTTTCAAGGCTGTGTTGAAAACAAATAGCCTGTATGAAAATAGTGGAAAAAAACTGCAGCATGACAAGTACATTATGACAATGAGGAATCAAAGAGAAAGGTACGACTTGAGTGCCCAAGGTCATGGAAATACAAAAAAATAGTCCGCTGGGAAAAAACGGGGAAGAACAGGAGCATGCTGAGATTCGACGGACGGTACGAGGGTGTGTGTGTGTGTAACCATACGGAATGAGGAGATTGCGGTGTGTGGATTGGACGGAAGCGCGTAACCACTCTTGGTAGGAGGTTTGGCTTTGTGTGAATGCGAGGAAAAGGTTGCTGGCCTGAAAAGAAAGAAGAGATGAATTGTAGGCCATCGTCGGTTCGTAAAGCTCTCTGGAAATTCTGACACAAAAGAAAAACGATGCTAATGAACTGTCTCAGTCATTCTGAGGGGGCGAGATGGCTCAAGTGGTTAGAGTGTGAATTTACTGACCGGAAGGTCCGTGGTTCGAACCCGACCACTGCCTCTCGACTTTCCCTGTCTAGGTTTGGGCAACCTGGCAGTGTCCCAGCCCTCGTGCTTCCTTCTGGTGGCATGGTAGCTAGACACCGAAAGGGTGTTACAGCTGAACGATCTATCTGCTTGCGTCGTATCAGATTACACACAACTGTTACAGAGTTCGTGAACACACTGGAGACGGGACAGTAAAATCTATATAGCTGGGAGGTTCCAAACTGGCGATTACAGAGGTTAGGGGAATGTGCGTTCTGTCACACAAATTGTATGTTTACACTCGTAGTCACAAGGCGTTAACAGGTTTTCATCACAAGTTGATTCTACGCTCGTTTTATTGCAGATACAGACCACCGAGATTTTTTCGGTCAGTCGAATATCGGCTGATCCGGACTGGGAATTACAAGTATACATGTATAGACGTAATGCACTACTCATAAGGTTGCTGAAAATTCGCCGACAGTCGCAAGACCGGTTTCGCCCTTCTTGGACAGTCACTCAACTTGCTGCCTGGTTGATAGAGCGACAGTACCAGAGACGATCATATATGATTTATTGTCCACAGCTGTCCCATTTGTTTATCAAACAGTGACCGTTTTTGAGAAATACACTCATTTGCAAATCAATTTGGTTTTCACGAAAGACTCAACTGAATGTCTCGTTTATGTTATTCTACAACTGCATGTGCTGCACACCGGCCGCCTCATGATTCATTTGGCACGATATTCGAGATGTCGCAGTGTATTTTCATGAAGGAGACTACTCACAAAGTTGCTGAAAGCTCTTCGACAGCCCACGAGCGGTTTCGCCCTTCTTGGGGCGCAGTTCCCGAGTTTCCGTCAACTTTGTGATCTACCTGAAACCAAATCACTGTCTTTCTGTATACGGCCTTGCGCTGATGGAGAACCGTATATTCCTCTACCACCAAGCGAATGTAAATCACAGTTAGACTGCACAGAGTGCACTGTAGAACAACACAGATGTGCGAAAACGGCCGTGACCTGTAGTACTAAATTGTTTTTGAAGCTGGCTAGATTTAGGTGTATGTCCTCTTGTAGATGTTCCACACAGTTGCAATCACAAGTTAGATGCCAAAACACTTGGAGAATAAATAGTATGGAAGCTGAGTGCGTGCTACATTTTTGTGAGGTCACGCGAGACAGCGACGCACGAGAAGATCACGTGCGCTGAAAAGGCCAAGCAGTCACTGGAGTCTGGGACACGTGGAGAACCGGATGTGATCGCGACAGCCTACGGCCTGGAACAAACTCGCCGCGGGCCTTGATCCAATCCCTGGTCGATCGGTGTGCACCACGTACGTGATGAAGGCTGGGCTTGCTGATATCAGCTTCTGCCACAGTTCAATCAGTTCACCAAGTAGCGGATAACGCCAACAAGAGTATGGTTAGACTGAATGTTTGATAGTTCCGTGCATGGCTTCTGTAAGACCTATCGGAATCACCGAAGTCGGTGGTGTGCTCAGCAACCCAGTGCTCTGGAGGGCCAGGTTTTGCAATATTAGATCGTAACTGGAAAGGTGGTAGGTTGGAAAACGCGAACCATGGTTCCCACATTGTATTATGTGATTCTTACAAGGTCCACGTTGAGCTTAACTCCGAAATCCCGACCGTTGGAGGGTACAGTTAGGACTATGTGCTTGAAAGTTTGGATTTGCTCGTACTGAGAGTGACAGGATGGTCATTCAGTTACAACGATGTGAACGAAGCACAAGAACTGAGAGACTGCCAGGTTGCCCAAGTCTGGACAGTAGCAGTCGAGATGGAGGGGTTGGATTTCGATCTGTGAGTTCGCGCTTCAAAAAGTGAGCCATATCGAGTTCCACTGACAGTACGGGAGAAATCTAGGTCATCTAATCACTGCGCTTGAGTAGCTATTGCAGCTGTTTCGCAATCATCATCATCATCATCATCGACAGGATGACATCAGTGTTCAACACCGATTTTTCACTGCTGTTCCGCAAACATACCTGGAGGTCGACAACTGGGATGTCTGACCACAGTTGAACGACAGCTATGTGGTCTAATTACCAAGAAATTTAAAATTCAGACCACCTGATGCATTTGTACACCAAGTGAAAACGACTGGTTCAACCCCCGAGCTGAGTTTTCTTGTAGAAAGTGGACAGTCTTGAGTGATGCCACTTAACCAAAAACCAATCGGAAACTCGGGATAGCACATGGGATCGGCATATATCACTTTCGGAACGGTCAAGACATTGTGTACAACATTTAGATCTACAGGAAACTCGGGATAGCACATGGGATCGGCATATATCACTTTCGGAAAGGTCAAGACATTGTGTACAACATTTTAGATCTACAGACAAAAAGGTTCAAATCAATACGTGTGGACAATTTGTCTTGGAAGCAGGTGTGATATTTCATGACACAGCAAAGGCCAGGATATGATCTGGTATGTGGACTTTGCCATCATTCGGAAACGATCCCTCGTACTGTTTCAGATTCTATGACGCCCCCTCGTTCGAGGCAAATTCCTTTTGAACTTCGGATACTTTAGCCAGGACAATTTTTGCGGGAGAATGGCGCTCCTGTCTAAATCAGTTGTTGACCGGCCATACAGAGACGGCACGCGTGAAAACGGGGTACTGATCAAGACTAATGACAGGGGAAAGGATTTCACGCAACAAAGTGAGACAATAACTTACTTTGAATTCAACAGTTTCACTCCACGGAGTCAACTTCCGAATCGCTGTCCGTATTGAGGTCATCAGTGGAGCGGGCATCGTAGAGGTAGGCTTCAAAACAGAACGGTAGCACGAATGAGTAAAGTGGAGTATCAACCATAGGAAGTATGAAAGGCACTCTCAAGTAAGAGCGACTGTGTGTACGAACGTTTCGCAGTGGCTAAAATGTAGTCGAGAGAAAATGGTCTACGCGGTCGAAATTCACACGGACAGTTACATACTTGGGCGAGATGGCCCAAGTGGTTAGAGTGCGAGTTTACTGACCTGAAGGTTCGTGGTTCGAGTCCGACCTTTGCCTCTCGACTTCCCCTGTCTAGGCTTCGGCAACCTAGCAGTATCCTAGCCCTTGTGCGACCGGAATACACACAGTTATCCTTCGGGGAAATCAAGCTTTCTCCTGTTGAACCATCCGGATGACCAGTTAGCTACGTACGTAGTCGCTGTTTCCCCGGGATAATTGATTTCTATTGTAACTAGCTTGTTTGGGTTGTTAACGTTGGTACGACTTTAACTGGATTCATAGGATGGTCCAAAGTGTAAATAAGCGACCAGTTACGACGATTGATAGCAGCGGTACTGGTGATATCAAACACGTTCGTCGGGCGATTTTATAACAAAAAGCAAATACTAATCGTTCAGTTGTAGCACCCTTTCGGTGCTTGGCTGCCATGCCACCCAAGGGGAACACGACGGACGAGATACTGTTAGGTTCCCCAAACCTGAACAGGAGCAGTCGAACTGCCGAAGTTCGCACCACAGACCTACCGGTGGACACCTGAACACAGATTTTGTAGCTATATCAAAGTAGTTGCTAGTAAAAAAAGGATACCACCTGGCTCAAGTGGTTAGAGCGCGAATTTACTGACTGGAAGGTACGTGGTTCGAATCCAACCTCCGCCTCTCGACTTCCTCTGTCTAGGCTTGGGCAACCTGGCAGTATCTCAGCCCTCGTGCTTCCTCCGGGTGGCATGGCAGCTAGGTACCGAAAGGGTGCTACAGCTGAACAATTAATTATTATTATTGTTTACATTACAACCACAATCATCATCAACAGAAAAATAAGGGCAAACAGCACGTCTAGTTGAGACAAAGACATTAGGTTTTACACCAGCCCATGATCCTTTATCGTTTTACCTGTATAGTGATGATGAACAGGCTGAAATGTCTGAATTGTCACACGAATGTGTGCATCAACCACTTGAACAATGGTCGATTTATTTTGCCATTCGACACATCTGTACCGCGTACACTCAAGAATAAGATCATTCAGCTGTAACACCCTTTAGGTGCCTAACTGCCATGTCAGCGAATGAAGACAAGGGGTTGGGATACTTCCAGGTGCCCAAGCCTAGTCAAGAGGCAGAGGGGGGTGAATCACGGACCTTCCACAGCTATCTCACCTTCATCGCGTACACTAAAGTCGAATGACTAAGCTGACATTCGATCTCGTTCACATGCGCCATTAGATTCATTAGGACCAAGGCACATGCTCCACACTAAGTAACAGTCGCTCAGCTGTAGCATCCTTTCCTTACAGCGCTAGGAAGCACGAAGGCTAAGGCGTTGCCCGGTTGCCCAAGACCGGAGACGAGTAACTGAGGAGCCGGGTTCAGTTAGGAAACGTAGTCCCTTCGGTCAGTAGCCTCACGCCGTAACAGCCGAGCTATCTGACAGATGTGGTCATATGAACAAGTATCGGTCTGTCGACGACTGTGTAAATAATCGATAGTGTGGAAAAATCGAACGTGGACGCACAGGAAAAGACACTGGTGATCCCAAGGGGTTAATGTGGACCGGATACCTGGGTACATAAAGTATCTAGGGTGAATCTCTGGTTAAAGGTGAGGTTAGCCAGAAGTAGCACCACCGACAGCCCTATACAAGAGGCGGTGGTATAACCAGGGCATGAGAGGATGATGCCTTACTAATGAGCCACAAAAGCTCGATGACCATATCACCCAAATGCTTTAAAATAAAGGCACTGTCTCACTAAGATCCATTTAGGATTGAGGCTTGGAGGAAAACTTATGAAGGACTCGGTCGTATTGGAAAAAATAGGTCGTTGTTGCTCACGGGCTAGTTAGAATGACACCCGAGGCTCCATTCGCTACACGAGCTGGTTCGAGTCAGACGCAAATCTAGAATTAAACGGCTTATCTTTTCATTATCACCAGATGAACGGGGCATCGTATCGATTCCCGTGAGGAGTTTCGTGCCCGCGACTTCCCGGCTGGTTGTTTGAACACTTAGCCGTTCGGCCACACACTCCATATCGCGAGCCGAAAGAAATAATCTCTCGATTCCTATAGTGTGTAAAAACTGATGTGTCCGCCTAACATGAATAGCCTATTTGTCACAGGTTAAAGGACGAACCTAACCCATATTTTGTCGTATAGGAGGTCGCTTACCCGTGGCACGAGCAGGGTGTTACGAATTTTACAACCCAAAGCACGTTCTAATACGCGGCTTAGGCAGTAATCATACGAGAAGGCATATGTTGCCCTGTATGACTGCTCCTGTCTACCTGACAATATATCAGCCCCCTCCAATGAAACGGAAGCTGTGTACGGAAAGGTTTTTACAGCCCTACCTAATTTTTTGTGCGTAAAAGGCATTTTTTGAAGAAAAAAAAACAACATCGCAAACTCACTCGGTTCCCGAACTGGGTCCTCTGCATTAGGTTCATTCGGAGTGAAGAAACGCGTACCGCGCTTGTTCAGATCGGGCGATCCGCTGGATTCGGTAACCGATGCGGCCGTTTCGGAACCGGTTTCAGGTTCAGCGGCAGGCTGCGACGGTTCGTTTTCAATGGTTCGATCCATTAGTCGTTGGCTCTGTGTCTGCAGTTCGGTGTGGCACTCACTACACACCCGGACACGGGAAGAGCCCTGGTAGGGTAGCATCCATCGATAGGATGAACATTTGTGACAGACGACCTTGCCACAACATCGACAGTGGTGCTAAAATGAGTGTTGGATAAGTTGAGTGTGAGTCAAAAGAGGAGACAAAAATAAATAAATAAATAAATAAAAAGTCGTACGGCGTGACGAAATACCCCTTCAAGGGTGAAATTGGTGCAGAACAACGTTGTCCAAGAGTCACAACCTCCCTCAGACGGAGGATTGATGCACTGGACTACGATATGCACGAAGCCCAAAGCGAACGAGCCACTGAGGCAGATGACAATTCGGCCACTCGAAATCAGTCCTACATAGCACCCCTTCAGATATTTCATCAAACAACTCACTGAAAGGTCGCCAAGCTAACATTATCTTGGATACACCAAGGTGGGCTTTTTATCAGCTTTAATGAGTCAGTACGACCACTATACAGCAGTGGGTTGCACATCGCCCTGATACGAGACTGTTGGATGGAAAAGTCAACGTTGCCGGGCACTGTAAGTTGTACATAACCTTAGAAGGCAGTTAAACCTAACCTGGTGAATGACAGGCCCGTGCAAGACGGTGTTGTAGACAGATAGATAACCTACGTTTCCTCGCCATTTGAAGAGCTATCTTCAGAGCGCTCACTTTTGGTTGTGATGAGCTTTCCCATGTGCTTCTTTCTGCTCCAATGATCGTTCAGCTGTAGCACCCTTTCGGTGCCTGGTCGCTATGCCACACGAAGGAGGCACGAGGACTGGGATGCTGCCAGGTCGTCCAAGTCTAGACAGGGGAAGTCGAGTGGCAGAGGTCGGGTTCGAACCACGGACCTTCCGGTCAATAGATTCGCGCTCTAACCACTTGATCCATCCCCCCCCCCCGTCTCTCTACTCCAAAAAGGTCAAAAATCACTATATACCGTGGAAAGTCTTGTCGCCACACCTGACCTACCTGCCTGTTCACCGCTATACTAACCAGGTCAACCTTTAAATGCGCATTGTCCCCGTTTGTCTATTACGTTACGTATGCTCAAAATGCAGTCCGGGAAATTCAGTCATAAAATTGAATTGGTCTCAGCTACTGGGAAGTCAGGCACAGAGAGGAATGACCGACAGTAGACCGCCACTCACACCCGCTGCTCCGCTTACATCAGTCGGACATCATTTCCCTGCTTAGGTTATAGCAGTTAAGGCGGAGCCGCCTTCGCTGCCGTGACTGCAGCTGCTGAAGCGGTTCGGGTCAGTGCTGGTATAGCTTTCAGTTCCCCTGTGCCGTTGGTCTGTCAACTTCTACGCGAGGTCGCACTGGTGGAAAAAACAGCTGCTTCGGGTTTATGATTTCCGCCTACGCACCAGCGAGATGGCCCAAGTGGTTAGAGCGCGAATTTACTGACCGGAAGGTCCGTGGTTCGAACCCGACCTCTGGCTCTCGACTTCCCTGTCTAGGCTTGGGCAACCTGACAGTATCCCAGCCCTCGTACGTCCTTCGGGCGGCATGGCAGATAGGCATCGAAAGTGTTACAGCTGAGCTATTATGTTATAGGCATCGTGAGCATGACTGCACTACTGTCTTCCATAATCTATTAAAAGACTATGGAAGCAAATTGCTTATGTAGTCGTCCACACAAGACTGTCAATCATTCTCGAACGAACAGGTTGATTCTGATCAGTTGGGGATGAAAAATACCGCCCGTTTCACGGTCGAAAAAAACCTTCTGAGCCAGGAAATGAACCAACACACCAGTACATGATGCTCCAAAAAGCGTCTCGTTGCCTGGAAAAGATAACCAGTACTGTACGTGGCGCTGGTATTTCAGATAGAAAAATCTATAACTACTGGTACTCAGAACCTTGAAGCCGGACACCGCGTCCCTCCGAGCTTAGCATATCTTGCTTCGACGGTCGATTGCTCCGTTATCCTGCGTCCTAATACGCCGCAAGGAATGGAGCAGCCCGACCGAACAACCAATCGTGGTCAAAGGTCAGCCCCGGCTGGCAGCACTTTTACGTAACACACAAGCACGAACCCATCGCTACGCCCCCAAGAACGCATTGAAGATGTCATCTTGATTGGTGATGAAACGTTTGCAACCAAACTGGCCGACTCCACCACCTACGCTACCTGAGCTACCAACATTTTTCACTAGAGATAAATTAAGTTTGTGTGGAGACAGAGGTGTTGTGGAAATGTTCAAGAGGTGGAAGAGGCTAACACAAGAGCTGTATCAGCTGATCTGCAACATGAGATCCAAGAGACCACCTGATGACAAGTTAATCACAGGTAATACTAAACACCTACATAAGAACCAAGGTTTCAATCGCTGGATACAGTATTTTAGGAAACAGTTTAGTGGCCACTGACTTTGCCCACACCATCCCCGTGAGTTCATAGACCACTAAAATGCATTTCTGCCTTGAAATGCATCTATCCGAGGGTCGAATAAACTTCCACCAGCGTTAATCAAACAAGGTGACGATTGTGCATGTTTTGCTTTGACTACGTCCCTCCGATGTCCCTCCCCAACTCCTTCCCACCACACGAAAAAACATCGCTGGGCCATTTGACTGTCAGTTATCTGACCGAAGGGCCTTATGCTCCTCGATGCTTACTAACACTAAACAAAGTAACATCCTTCTAAATCCACGAGATCCTTTCTACATAGGAGCTTTTAACGTCCGTACTCTATGTCAAATTGGCAAACAGGCTATGCTTGCTGAAACCTTGTACTCCCTTAAAATTGACGTATGCTGTGTCTCCGAAACACGCATACAAGACCCCAGCGTGGTTCTGCATCTCAGAACGCCAAGGACGAAATCAGTCCTTTCAAATTTCTTCCTCCGTGTGTCCGGTGAGCCAGAAACGATGACTCGTGGAATGTATGGTGTGGGAGTTGCACTCAGCCGCAGAGTTGAACACGCTTTGGTGAATTGGATCTTAGTGAACAGTCGTCTTTGGGCGATTATCCAGTTCAATCAAATTCAACGCATAGACATAAAAAGATGTGCCTGTTTAGAATATCGACTCATGTCCCAACTGACTGCAGTTCTGAGGCGGAGAAGGATACTCTATCGAGAGTTATCCGGGCTCATCCGTCGAGCAAGAGGTATTGTCATTGTGATCCTTCGGAGCGATATGAATGCTCAAGTAGGTCGTCTGAGCTCCCTGGAATCACATTTGGGCGGTCGATTCGGAGTCGATGCTCGTCGCACAGACAACGGAGATCGACTCCTTCAGTTGTGTGCTGATCATGAAGTGTTTCTGGCAAGTACGAACGTTTGCATCGCGTAACCTAGCGGCCACCAACTGCAAATCAATCATGGACCAGGTTGGACCACATGGCATCGGAGCTATTTGAGAACAAGAACATGTTGTAGTCTTTTTTCTTCCATTCAAAGAAAGTACTCGAAGTGACCTTTCCAGCGATAGAAGAGTCACACATGTCATGGTGTAAATATGGTTTTAATAAGGTTAGCTGAGACTCGAATCCAAGCAACTCACAAAGGATTGGGAAGGAGCCTAGCGATTACATTTTCAGGTGGCATGGAGTAATTGAGCAGCGCTGCACACACCAGGACGACTCTGCCGATAGACTAACTCTTCCACACAAGTTTGGCCAAAGAAGAATAGCCATGAAGTTTCTTGATGCACTTCACGCTACATGTACTCACATTTCTGCTCACGTGAAGGACCGAAATTCCCCCCCTAACAACAGCCATCAAGACAAGCCCCTCTCCACCAGCGTTCAGTCTTTACCTGGACCCCATCCCAAGGGACTGTGGATTCGATTCACGAAGGACTAGTGAACTCAAGGTATGCGGACAAAATTATCTCGCCACTTACTGTGGAACTCGGTAGATGTAAGAGAAGCTTCAGAGTGTCAAAAGACCACTTCTCCAAGCCTCATAGAGGCTCACATTTTTTAGGCTCACATAAACTGAATGATCCGGTTGATTCGTCAGTATTTTGTATGTTGAAAGTAGCAATCACAGCCTCGACTTACGTATAAGATGACAGATTGTAGAAAAAACAGCCGGATGATAAGCAACCTTGGTACCCCGGTCAGCGAGTGTCAATGTCAAACCGTCACCTGTACCCGCAGATCATCCGATGCGAGCCTTTCGAACGTGTGTGAGCATTTGTCTGTCAGAACCGATCACGAAATTATAGGTTTGTACGCAGAGACGTTGCGTACATTTTCGTGTGACCATGAAATATTTCATATACTCACCGCTGCTAGCCGTATGAGGAGGTAGCGAAACGTGTTTTGGGGCCGTTTGTTCATGCACTAGACCACTGACTGACCATGGAGACAAAACGGTTGTCCGCCAGTGGGAGGCTTATGAAGTAATTGTGACAAGATACTATTCAGATGTATGGATCCATGGGTTTACAGCAGCATACGCCGTTCCGTGCTTGACCCTGCCGCTTTATAAATCGGACCCTTGTTTTTTTTTCAATCAGGAGCTCCGGATATTATCCCTCAAAATCAATCTTTTTCATTGGGAAAACTGGGGTCCATTCTGCCCACATATTTCTCCGATTGAATACTACCTCACCCTCCGTTGAACGGGATGCAGATGGCCAGAATACAATCTGCATACAAACCCTATCAAACACCCGGGCGTCAAAATGATCTCAAACGGAATTCCATTTGTCTCCTCCGCTGTCCTATTTTTTTACTGGCAGAACTCCCATCCCATCCAAGACGGTATTCAGAACAAGTAACTGTAAACCTAGCCACTCGTCAGATGCGCTCCTCGACTAGCGATGAGACGTTTGCAAACAAGTTGTCCCGCGACTCCTTCAGTTGTGTGCTGATCATGAAGTGTTTCTGGCAAGTACGAACGTTTGCATCGCGTAACCTAGCGGCCACCAACTGCAAATCAATCATGGACCAGGTTGGACCACATGGCATCGGAGCTATTTGAGAACAAGAACATGTTGTAGTCTTT